ACACACACACACACACACACACACACACACACACACACACACACGCACACACACACACACACACACACACACGCGTTTGTTTTTGTGACACAGACAGAAAGACTGAGACGCGCGCACACACACAAAGAAAGAAACACACACACACACACTCACACACACAAGTATGTTTTTGTGACACACGTAGAAAGACCGACATACACACACAGAAATAAAAAGTTTGTAGTTGTGAAATACACAGAAAGACACACACAGATAGACAAACAGACTGATAGAAAGAGACAGACAGACACATACACACATGCATAGAGAGAAACACACACACACACAGGTTTGTTTTTGACCGACGCACAAACACGCATGCATATATATATACACACACAGGTTTGTTTTTGTATCATACACAGAAAGACCGATGCACAAACACGCACGCATATACACACAGGTTTGGTTTTGTGACATACACAGAAAGACCGACACGCACATGCACACACCAAGACCAACACACACAGAAACAAACACACACACACTGTATTGTGTGTAGTTTGGTCTTGTCTTGTGTAACCAGTATTGCTGCTCTACATCAAACACTCAGTGATGCTGTAGAATAGAGCAGATGTTTGATGTATTTAACTAGTCATGCTCCTTCAGCACAAGTCAACAAACAGAAAAGACTCTGACATTCCCACAGAACATCAATAAAACACAGTGTTCAATGAGCTCTGTGTTTGATTAGTAAACACTGGATGGGCTGGTCAGGTCAGGTCACTTGCTCTCTATTGTACACAACCTTGACAAAAGTCTTGTCGTTGATCTCAGTTGTAAGAGCAACAAATAATAACTTGACTTCTGGTTGATCCGTTGGAAAAGTGTCAGATGGTGGATTTCTCCCATTTCCTCCGGGTGCTCTGGTTTCCCCCACAGTCCCAAGACATGTGGTACAGGTGAATTGGGTAGGCTAAATTGTCCGTAGTGTATGAGTGTGTGTGTGTGAATGTATGTGTGGATGTTTCCCAGAGATGGGTTGCGGCTGGAAGGGCATCCGCTGCGTAAAAACTTGCTGGATAAGTTGACGGTTCATTGCGCTGTGGGGACCCCCGATTAATAAAGGCAAGAAAATTAATGATTGACAAGAATGAAAGACAAGAAAATGAATAAATGAATGTTAAGTAAAGCAATGCAAATAATGCATATATCGTCAAATATGTTGTTCCATTTAA